TAACTAGTTTTAGGTATAACCTTTTATCTTAAAAGCTGGGAGACTTTAAATTACTGAAAACCATTCTCAATATTTACAACAAAATTAGTTACTATGTTCCAAACGTGGAACCAACTGGTCTATGGGAAACCTGATGTTGAATAGGGAAGCAACCTCAGTGCAGCTCTCTCTGAGTGACAGACTGGCCCTGGGGTTGTTACCCTAAGGAATGCCCTTTATTCAGAAACCCCTGCCTTTACCAGGGTCACATAAAATAAGGCCTCGAACATAGCAAATCCAAGCAAAAAGGCTTGGCGGCCAGCGCCTTCGCTGTGTGTGATATAATGTGCACTATCTTTTTATAGCCCCAGATACTTGACACAAAACTCTGACCAGAGAAATTATTTTTATGAAGAGCAGATATCTCTGTAGTATGCTTAGAAAACAATTTGAAAGAGTCAGCCTCACTTGGTCTGAAAAATCATTTTGGCTGCAATTTACTGATCTAGTTGGCATTACTAAAGAACAGTTGAGGAAATTCCCATAACTGGCCATGAGAAATGAACATCATTTTTGTTGGAATTCACTAGAATTGTTTCTGATAAAATTCATTAGTTAAATGTTTAATAAGGGCCCATATCTGGCATATGGTAACTCTTCTGTTGGAAATATCAAAAATGATTGTCCTAGTGATTTTAAGTTTCCCACACTTTACCCGTCCCTATAAAATAAAACAGAAGTGTGAGTTCTATCACAAACTTAGTTGTAGTAAATAGCGTCAGAGCTGCTATTCCTGTGACATGTGTGGTTATCACAGAATGAAACCTTGGAAACTCTCTGATATTGCTCTTTTGGGGGTGTTGCCTAATGGATGTTAATTGATATGTGTTAATAGAAAAATTATACAGCATCATGATTTATGTTATAAAACTTGGTGTCAGGAAAACAATGAGACAGAGTGGGTGCCTATCGCAAGGAACTGATTAACAGGCAATTTAATTTGGTTACATATGGGAGTGTGGCTTGCAGATGAGTGCTGCATGGAAAGAAATTTATGACAGCAACAAAGGAATGATGGAATCATGTCCTAACAGAGCAGGGGAAACATACGTTTACGCACACGCACACACACAAACATGCACACAGGCACACACAATCATCATACTGGCAGTAGGTCTAGAAACCCATGATCCAGGATACCTACTGTATGTAACCCAACCCCACTCCCTTAATCTTACCTGAATCTTCATTCCAATGAATCACTGCAAGTAGGAGGTAGAGCAAAATGATGCCAGATTGAATCACTGACCCCCACATGTGAGGGTGCTCCTTGACAGGTATGATGCAATGGTAGGAAATAGGTTCTTATAGCCATAAAATAAAGTCTGTCAGTCTGGGCCCTTCCAATTCCCCCCTTGTTGATTACATGTAGATTGATTATTCCATCAAGGGTCATTTCAAATAATGATTTCTAATTATTTGGCATTTTAAATTCTTTTGGGGAGGGTAATATAATTTGCAACAATGTATTCCAACTTCAAAGTCACTGCATATTTTCATTCACATGTTTTGAGACGTCATCCAAGTCTCCAGGTCTGCTAAAAGAAGTGGATGACTTTCACAGGATGTAAGGTTATTTTCTAGCATAGGGGAAGACCTGAGAAAAACTCCACTATAAAAATTAAAGAGAGCAATACCATACTCCCAATATTTCATATTTTATGGCATTACTATTTGTGTTTGGGGCAGACTGAAAATCTATTTTTATTACGCTTTCTGAGATGGCACTTTGAATTTAAGCCCCATTTTCCATGGCTTATAGCTTTTCCACTGAGTACCTTTGGGGATAAACTTCATCATGTTGGTTCTTAACCTAGAATGAAATAATTCAGGAAGTTTGAAGGAAATGTATTTCCTCATTTTGGATTTAAGTAACTATAGAGAAATTCTTTTTGGCTTTTCAAAAATATTATTCAGTTTCTACTATTGAATAATTCATAAGGAATTATGATTTTAAACTACAAATATTTGGGGTATAATTATGTTCTATAAAAGGCACACCTATTTAAAATTACTTACACAAAATAATAAATGAAATATAGTCTATATTTACTACATTCCTCCATTCATATAATACAATGCTCTATGATCTGCCAAATCCATCAGAACTTCTGAAATGTAATCTTTTTGGGGAACGACTATGGTGTTGAATCAAAATGAAAAATCATCTTTGCAGGAATGACTAACCATCTATTAAAGGATTTTTGTGGCTATTTAAATGCTGTCTCAGTGGTTTACATCAGCTGTCAAAATTTCCCATTTTCCCATTTTAAATGTGTACACATAAGGCCATATTTTTTAATATCCATTTACACAGAAACAAAATTTGAAAGAGTAATAAAGTGAAAAATCATGAAAGGTAAAAATGGCCAAGACTCAGGTAATGGCTCACTCAGCTTAATATCGATTGGAATTCTCAGAAGAAAAGGGGACCTGAACTTCCCAACACAACCGTTCATTTAGTAAAAATGCTTACCTTACTGGGCACTTTGATAACTATTATACAGTTATCATTAACCCAGTAGGCATTATCCATTTAAGAAATCAGGAAAGGATTTTGACCAGAGGAGGGACAGTTCAGCCACACATAAACACAATGTATGTGTCTTCATTACAAACACACGCACACGCACACACACACACGCTATTTATACATGTATGTATAGATATGTGTGTATCTATGTATATCGATCTGTTTGTATATATGTAGCTCATATATATTATTTATACACATATAATTAATAAGTAATTAAGTGGGAATGTATATAGATTACATACTTGATTTTGGTTTAATTGTCTTCTAATTCTATTTTACAGTCTTTCGATTTCTGGAAAAAGATATTTAACTGGATTAGTTTAGTAATAGTTATTTTTAAAATATCCAATATTCAATAATTTTCCTAATTATATTGCTAGCTACACATACACACACACGCAAACACACACACACACATATAAAATCACCACAGTTGATTTAATTATTTTTATTTCACATATTCTCTCAAAGTCATTTTTATAAAGAAATGTAAGCCGATAAAAGTTATATACATCTGACTTCATTATATTTCATATTCTGTATACCTTGCTGGGGGAAAAGATAAAGAAAATTCATAAACAGTTAATGACATGAGGTAAAAAGTTAATTATATTTATGTATAAAGCGCTTCTGGAGCCAGTAAAGTAAGAACACATGGCCAGTTTAAGGACAGGGAGACATTAGCACTGAATCTTTAAGAATGAATTGAGATTTATAACGTAGAAAATGGAGGACATTTCTGTTTCCATCAAGCATATTCACTGTATCAAACAATATTTATGATGTTTGTTTTTAATGGGTACTTATGCGGATATAATTAAACCAGAGTGAGAAAGGAGAGAAAATTGGTAATATTGTTCCAGGGCACTGAAGTGAGTCATTTTTAGATTTTTAACTCAAGTTCCTTTTCTTTGTGATCCACTACCAGAATGTAATTAGGTAGTTTAATCATGTTTTTCCTACTTAAGGAATTTACATTCAAAATTCCAATTTAACTTTGAAAGACTTACTGAATGGTTTCCTCTTAAAGCCCAATAAAATTATATTTGAAAAGATTGAACAATTAGACCCTGTGTCTGCACAATAATTTCCTCTTGCTATTCAATATCACATTGCAAAGTGTATTATTATTGTTGTTGTTATTATTATTATCATGTGTCAATTTTGAGGTCATTTTTGACTCATTCTGTCAATTGACACAGCCCACCCCGGTACCCTCATACTCCCTGAAGCCGCTGGTTGCCGTGACAGAACACAACCTGTCTTTCAACAGACTTGTGGAAGAAAGCAAACTGATCCCACGCATTTTTGAAGCAATTCTGGAACATCAGGAGAACATTCTGAGTAACATCATGCAAAGTGTGATTGCATTGCTCAACAATCTGGTTGCCTGCAAAGATTCAAAGATGAAGCTCCTTTATGAACAAGGACTGGTTGGTCATGCCTGTCGCCTGTTCCCCAAAACTGCCACACAGTGCTTGGACGTGGACAACAAAAACAGCAAGGAGACAGCCGCCGCGCTGCGGTTTTCCCGGCTTGGTATTTTGCACGGCAAGCTGACCTCCCTCTCCGCGGTAGTGCGGCTGGCGCTGCAGGCTCCGCAGTCCGGCTCAGGAGGGAGCGCTCCTGCCGCCGAAGACTTGCTGCTGCTCAGCAAGCCCCTGACAGACCTGGCCAGCCTGCTCATCCCGCTGCTTCCTAACGGGGATCCTGAAGGTTTTGAAGTTTTGAAGTTTGAAGAGTTTTTGTTTTTTTTTTAAATAAATACATAAAAGTTTAAAGATCTGGATCTCAAAGGCACTTGACACAGGAATGGTTCAGTGTGTGCCCCCCAGCATCCCAAGGAGGGGGCAGGCAGCAAGTGGAAAGGGCACCTGGGGAGCCCCACTAAGGCCTCCATCCGCCAGGGGGTTTGAGGTAGGGCCCACTGCTCCTGTTCCTCCAGCCTGGCTCAGAATGGCCCCCTGGCTCTGGAGAAGAACGGGCAAGTACCTTGTTGACATTCAGTTATGTATAGGTTTTGCTCAGTATGAGCTTTCAAACACTTTTTATATCTGGGCAAAGTAACTGGCACGGCCCGTGATCAGTATATAGCTGCAAATTTGGCCGTAAGTTAGTCTGTTCCAAGTAGATCAAGAGATACACGACCAGAATGTGGGAGACTGCGTGCTTGGCACTGTGCCCTGAAGAGGGGGAAATGAGGCGGGCTGGTTGTCTCCAACGCCTCTCAGTGACTCTCAGAGTAAGCGCAGAGATTCAAAGCTTCAGTTCAAAATATTACTGATGGCCTTAAACATTTCTTTCACTTTGGCAGCTGCAGCGTTGACAGAGTTAAAAATCAGTTAACATCATGGCCTCTGTAAGTATGTCAAGGGAATGTGATGGGATTTATTAGGAAGGAATGAGTCCCTGTGAAATTAGATACAAAAACATGTGTGTTCTCAGGTGAACGTGTTAACTGGAACATGCACATGCACATGGCCCTTGGCTTTCCTTGTTAGGGGCAGAAGCTCAGCTGCCTTCATGAGGCTGACAGTTTGCTGCTTAGTGTCTGGATGAGGCGTTTTGGTTGTTGTCACTGCTTTCCATACTGGCCACACTGGAGAAGAATCCCGGCAATGCTGAATGTCTTTCTTGCAGTGAAAGGTGTTTCCCTTCTCTAAACCTGACCCAATGAAGAGCCTTCTCTGTTTTCTACTCATGAAGACGTGATGAGAGCAAAGGAGACTAGACCAGGAGTGGGTGCTCTTTTCCTATGCGTTTCTAGCTGCCCGGTATTCTATATCCTCCTGTTAAGTCCAGTTAGTCTTCAGCAATTTCTAAAATAAAATTTAGCTCAGTTTTTCTTACAGTCACCCCAGTGATTGCCCCAAGTAGGCACCAGATTGAATTCTACCATGTCTTATAGATAACTGTTTTCCTTAGATTTCTTATTAGTTGGTTGCCCTGTGAACTTAGCTCTCAGCTCTCAGGAGTTCAAGATAATACATTGTTTTAGAAATTATCTAGCCTTTTTTTTTTTTTTGGCTTTGTTTGGTTTCTTTTTCTCCATATTTATTGATGTATAATTGACAAACACAATTGTATATGCTTAAAGTATATAACATGATGAATTTATATATGTATGTGTTGTGACATGATTACCACAATCAAGTTAACACATTCATCACGTCACATAGCTGCTTTCTTATGGATTGAGACAAGTTAAGATCTACTACTCTCTTGCAAACTTCAAATATGCAATACAGTATTATGAACTATAGTCACCATGCTGTACATTAGAAGGTCTAGAACTTACCAGATAACTCAAAGTTTGTGCACTTTTACCAATATCTCTCCATTTTCCCCATCCCTTCGTCCCTGGTAACTACTATTCTAATCTTTAGTCCATGAGTTTAACTTTTTTAGATTCCACATATATGT